GCAACATTTCCCATCCTTCTCCCTTCTTCAACCACTTTTAACCATTTCTGATTTTAGTTTTTCTTGTGATTACTTCTCTAAATAGGCTACTAGACAGATCTTTTGATTTATCAATTTAACATTATTGAGTCCCGACAGAATGAAGATTTGCTTCATTGCTACAATCCTCACCTCCACTTCTATTTTTGAAATTGTTGTTTTAGTTTTTTGTTTTTTTTTTTAATTTATTTATGCATACAAGAGCTGGGGTACAGGCCAGAGGTGTGGGGGGTGAGAGAATTCACCAGAGCCAGAGTGGGGAACAGAACAGGTAGATTGACTGAAGTACACTGCTGAGGGGAGCAGAGGGCAAGTCAGGAGAGGTCTGCTGCACCCTGTGGGTTACTCCCTGGCCGGAGATCAAGCTTGTGTTGCAGTGGCTGCAGTTAGCTTCATAGGTTGCATCTTAACCCCTTGTGCCACCAGGGAGGCCCGACTTTTTCATCTTTAATACCCCTTTTCACATGATATCTTAGAGTTTTATTTTAAAATACGGGTTCATTAAAACTTTGAAGACCAATGACAGGCACCAGACAATGAGACCAAATTATTTTTTGGCAAAGATCTAGAGCTTAATTCACAAAATTTATTCTCAAGAAGTAAATTGATTTCAGAAGGGAGTTTAGTAGTCTATTCTCTCACATCATCAGAAGAGATTTTTTTATTTTGATTTTTTAATTAATTTTTAAAATTTTTACATCATTTTTCATTTTGAAACAATATTTGCTTCCCCCCACCCCCTCAGCTGTAGTCCCCATAGAGTTTCCTTCACCAATGCACCCGTGCACCATCACCTCAGTCCCCTGTGCTCCTCCCTCCCTCCCTCTGATCCCTCTCCCTCCTCCTCCCCTGCAGGATGTCTCTGATTTATAATTGTCTGTTTTTGCTTTGTTGTGTTTTGTACTGTTATTTTTTTTTTACACTGATGTCTTATTTGGTTCCCCTATATTCCTGCTATAAGCGAAACCATCTGATATTTTTCTTTTTCCTTCTGGCTTATTTCACTGAGCATGATTCCTTCTAGTTCCATCCACGTTGCTGCATGAATTTATGAAACCTTTTTTGATTGCTGAGTAATATTCCATTGTGTATATATGCCACATCTTCTTGATCCAGTCATCTATTTTTGGGCATTTGGGTTGTTTTCAGGTTTTACCTATTGTAAATAGTGCTGCAATAAACATAGGTGTACAGGTGTTCTTTTGAATCAATGTTTTTGTGTCCTTTCGGTAGATCCCTAGGAGTGGAATTGCTGGGTCATATGGTAGCTCCATTTTTAGTAGACTGAGGAAACTCCAGACAGCTTTCCATAATGGTTGGACCAGTTTGCACTCCCGCCAACAATGCAGGAGAGTTCCTTTTCCACCACATCCTCGCCAACATTTGTTGTTGCTTGTTTTTTTGATCTGTGCCATTCTTACTGGTGTAAGGTGGTATCTCAATGTGGTTTTAATTTGCATTTCCCTGATGATAAGGGATGTTGAACATTTTTTCATATGGCTGTTGGCCATTTGCATTTCCTCTTTGGAGAAATGTCTTTTAAGTTCTTTTGCCCATTTCTTGACAGGATTATTTATTTTGGTTTTTTTTTTTTTTTTTTTTTTTGAGTCGTGTGAGTTCTTTGTATATCTTTGTGATCAGTCCCTTATTAGTTGACTGGAATACAAAGATTTTTTCCCAGTCAGTGGGGTGTCTCTCTGTTTTGGTTAATGTCTCTTTTGCTGTGCAGAAGCTGTTCAGTTTGATGTAATCCCAGGTGTTTATCTTTTCCTTGACTTTCTTTGCTTTGGGTGATGAGTCTTTAAGGATGTTATTGCAATGTATGTCTTGTAGTGTTTTACCAATACTTTCTTCTATATATTTTATGGTTTCAGGTCTTATGTCCATTTCCTTCATCCATTTTGAGTTGATTTTTGTGCATGGTGAAAGGTAGTGGTCTAGTTTCATTTTTTTGCCTGTGGTGGCCCAGTTTTCCTAGCACCATTTATTGAACAAACTGTCCATGTTCCATTGTATATTCTTTGTTCCTTTGTCAAAGATCAGTTGTCCATTTAAGTGTGGTTTTATTTCTGGGTTCCTATGTGGTTCCATTGGTCTGTGAGTCTGTTTTTGTTCCAGTACCAAACTGTTGTAATTATTATGGCTTTGTAGTATAGCTTGAAGTTTAGAAGTGTGATACCTCCTTTCTTCTTTGTTTTCATCAGTAGGGCTTTGGCTATTCGTGGTTTTTTTTTTGGGTTTTTTTTTTTTTTTTTTTTTTTTTTTTTTGTGCGTGTGGTTCCAAATGAATTTCATCAGTATTTGTTCTATTTCTTTGAAGAATGTCATTGAGATTTTTATTGGAATAGCATTGAATGTGTATATTGCTTTTGGTAGGATGGACCTACCAAAAGGTCCATCTTCCATGAGCAGGGGATGTCTTTCTATTTATTTGTTTCTTCATCTATTTCTTTTAACAGTGTTTTATAATTTTCTTTGTATAGGTCTTTCACCTCTTTTGTTAAGTTTATTCCCAAGTATTTGATTTTTTTTTTGTTTCAGTTATAAAAGGGATGGTTTTCTTGATTTCTTCTTCAGATTGATTGTGTATAGGAAGGTTACTGATTTTTGTGTGTTGATTTTGTATCCCGCTACTTCACTGAACTGGTTGATTATTTTGAGTAGTTTTTCTGTGGAGTTTTTAAGAGTTCTCTACGTATATTATCATATCGTCTGCAAATAGTGATAGTTTTACTTCTTCTTTCCCTATATGGATTCCTTGTATGTCTTTCTCTTGTCTTATTGCCCTGGCTAGGACCTCCAGTATTGTATTGAAGAGCAGTGGTGAGAGAGGACATCCTTGTCTTGTTCCTGACCTTAAAGGAAAGACCTTCAGCTTTTTACCATTGAGAATAATATTCTCACCAGAAGAGATTTTGAAAGGAAATTTAATTTCATGCTGGAATCTATTTTCCTTGAGGATAAAACATCTCCATACAATCACTTATATTACATGGAACTAAAAAATTGCAGGAAAATTCCTGAATTATCTCATGCCAACTCAGGGTAATATTTTGGGTAGCATTCATTACAAAACTGTCCATTAGATAACTGTTCCATAATCATTCTTCCAATCTGCTTTTTAAAAAAAGGTGAGCTGTGTCATATAGATAGAAAATGTACAAAACATTTATAAGTAGTAATTATAAATGAAATATCCGTGTAGCCACCTCCTTAGGAACATTGACAGCACTCTAATGCTCCGTATTCCTCCCTTCACAGCTCTCTCTCATCCCCAAAGGTAATTAACATTATCCTAATATCTGTGATGAGGACTTTCTGATGTTCCTTATAGTAAAAAAAAAAATCTGTGTATACACCTATGTATCTAAGTATACCATGTGTATCTGTATAATAATATAGGTGTACGTTAGTTACACCACACTTGAAACACCGCGTCTCTGTTAGATTGCCTGTCACACATTTTAAAATGTCATTGCTTTTCAGTGTATTTTGAGATGCATTCCTCAGAGGTTGCTCTCCTCCCCTACCCCTCTAGAATATTTGTTATAATGTATAAGATAAATGTAGGGTAAAGAAAATGTCAGGCTTTTTTGCCCTCCCGCCATCAGGATAGATGATGGATCCTTGTCCTGAATGCATGCCTGATGGCGGGCACCTGGAGTAGGGTGTGGGCATAGGTAGATGGGATTCAGCTGAGCTAAGACTGCTTTTAAGGGCGGCCTCACGGGGACGCCAGCAGAAGCTGAGAAAGAAGTTGATGAGAGAAGCAAAGAAGCAGAAGCAGAGAACATCAGAGAGCCCAGAGAGAGTGCGGATTTGCTGGGGGGTGGGAGGACTGCCAGCCTCCGGGCCCCCCAGCACCCCTGCCTGCCATATGCCTGGTGAACCCCAATAAAAGACCTGCAAAAGCCAGTGAGGATTCTGACTCCTCCTCTACCCTGTCTGCATGGGATCAGAAAACCTGCACTGTGCCCATTCCTGTCCTTACAGTAAGCTTTAATATCTTCCTAAGAACCTGCTATGTGGGGAAGAGTCCCTATTTTTTATTGCACTGCTGCTAATTGGAAAGAACAGTGTCTCCATCTTATTTCCCACTTAGTGGTTAAAGATCTACCAAAAAAAAAAAAAACCCTCTTCTTCATTAAACTAGGAGATATCTTTATCATAGTGTGTTTTATTTGTATTAATGCAGAAACTCAAGTTTCCTAGTTCATCAACCAAGTTTTCCTCATGCCATAAGAAAAACAAAACAAAACAGAAAAAGACTTTATTTTAATCTCTCTGAAAAATGACTCAACGACTTAATAATTAGCACACACTCTTGTAATCATGGTACTAAATACAATGTACTAAATACAATGTATATACGATTGTATATACAATGTAGTATACAATGTATACTAATACAATGTAATCATGGTACTAAATACAATGTAATCATGGTACTAAATACAATGTAATCATGGTACTAAATACAATGTAATCCAGGCTTATTTAGCACGCACTCATCACACACTTCCCCTCGTTTTCAGTTTTTAGGCTCCACATTTGGGTTCTTTTATGGGTTTCTTTTATGGGTTTCTTTCACTTTTGGGTTCTTTTGTGTAGTTCCACCCCGCACCATAGGGGGCAGAAGCAGCTCTTCCTCACCCCCGCTCTTCAACCCTGCTTCCTTCTCTGTCAGGCCCGACCAAGTAGGCGTGAAGAGAGGGGGGGAGTAGCCATAAAGACGGCGGCCCTGTGCCTAAGCTTGTTCTTAAGGGAGGGCTTTCTCCATGGTTTTAAAGCTTGTAGTTTTTCTCTTTTAAGTGTGTAAACCTCAAACCATAGCTTTCTGCACGAGAACTCCCAGGGCCTGGCTCTTCTGGCGCTTCCCCCCCCTGCTCTGGCGGAGAAAGGTGCGGTCCGACCCGCGGAGCCCCGACCCGGAAGCCGCTGCGGCCGCCCCGAGACTCCGCTCGCCTCGCGCCCGGGAAGCTCTGTGCGGCCCCGGGGCCCTTGGGCCCCGCGCACCCGCTTTCCCGAGTCCCACTGGCCCATGGGTGTCCATGGCGACAGCAGGGGCCCGGCCCGGGGGCGGGCAGCCCGAGTGGGGCCGCGGCGCTCCGGGGGCTTGCGCGGCGGCGTCGCCGTGTTCGCCGCTGTGGCCGCCGTGTTCACCCTCACGCTGCCCCCCTCGGTGCCGGGGGGAGACTCGGGTAAAGTACTCTCAGGGCCCCCACCCCCTGCTTCACCGTCCTCCCGGGGCTTGGCCAGGGCGCGCCCCCCTTCCGGGCCTGTGCCCAGCTGCGGGCCCTGCGTTGCGGAACCAGCTCCTCTTTCCGTTCTTGTAGCTCTGGTTGCTCAGTTCTGAGCTGTCTGGTCGGGGCTTACTGGGACGTCCCCACATCACTTTTCTGGATCTGAGTTTCTGCTTTTGCATTCTTTTGTGGTCCACAAATTCTACTTAATGAGTTCGTATTGTGTTCCGGACAAAGGGATTAACAGTCGTGGTGAACCAGTGTGGAGAGTATTAGTGCGGGCAGAGATTGCACAATTTACTGAACACACAGCTACATGTTCAGTGGGGATACATTATTGGAGAGAGAGGAATGTGTGATTGATAGCGGATGATGGGTATGTGCTCCTTCAGAATCGCTAGTCAGGATGATACTTCAGATATTTGGGGGAGAACATTTGAAGAGGGGGAGCCAGGAGCAGCTTAAAGCAAACTGCTTCTATTAAAAAGAAAAGAATAGACTTATGGGCCATTTAAATCATGAATAGTTGTCATGTGTTTAGAAGAAACAAAATCCAGTACCCATTCCAATAATGCTAAATAACAGCCACTGATGTCAAAATGATGCTGTGACTGAAGGTGGTGAATCTGCAGGTTGAGGAAACCGAGTGTGTTTGTTAGTGTTGCTGTATATCAACACATCAAATTCAGTAGCTAAAAACAAATGTTTATTGCCTCATTTTCTGTGGATCAGGCTTCAGAGTGCACTTTAGCAGAGTGCTCTTACTCAGGGCGTTGCTGTCACTGTGTGGGCTGGAACTGCAGTCCTCTCAAGGCTCAAATTGGGGAGTATTTTGCTTCTAAACTTAATCCCATTCTTGCTGTGTGGGTCCCCGCAGTAAACTGATTTCACTCGGAGAGATGGCACCTCTTTTTGACACCTCTGTCATTTGATCTTATCTGGAAAGTGAAATGTTACTGCAAGGTTTTGTTCTTGGAAGTTAGTCAATAAATCCAGCCCCCCTCAGGGGAGAGGATACACAATGAAAATAAGGGGAGTAGAATACCAGGAGTTGGGGACCATGGGAGCCATCTTGAAGGCTGCCTGCCACAATGAGAACCCCTGATGTTCTACTTTCAGGTCATTACCTTTATTGTTCCAGGTCCTGTTGAACAAATAGCAAAATCTCTTTAATTAATACATTGGGGAATGGACTTACATGTTACCCAGGTTTATATTAAATAATAGAAATAACTTTATAGTTGTGAGCATTTTGACATTGGAGAGCATTACTCACAGATTCAGTAGTCCTGTACTGGCCAGAGTGGGGGCAAAAGGAAATATTGGTAATTACTTATTACAGTTGTTTGAGTGTGAAATATGGGGGTGAGATGAATAATTAGCACTTAACTGAGCATGTGCTATGTGCCAGGCAGCCACAAGTACGTTACATGGATTATGGTTTTAATCCTTCCAGCTACTGTCCTATTAGGAGGTACTAGCAGTATTTTCTTTTTATTAACAACAAAACTAAAGCTAAATTGTGTCCAGAATCACTCAACTGAAAAGTAGGGGCAGTCAAGGAAAAAATCCAAGTAGATTGACCTGAGACCATGTTGTCTTTACCTCTACTCTTTGTCAAAGAATGTCACAAAATTCTTTGTTAAATTCATCACATATGTAAAAAGTATTTAAAATCTCTTGTTGCCTTGTTTTTATTAATACTATCTTTTTAAAGAAAAAAAAGTTATTCACTTTCAGTTACCAAACTTCTTTAAGTGTTCCAGTTTGTTTAGTTTGATGCCAAATAGTGGTTGCTCTAATATTTTTAGATTCCTTTTTGGGGATTGAAAAAAAGCTTTTCCACGTGCTGGCGGTAAAATCTGTTTAATTTATATCTTTAATAATTTTGTTTATATGTTGAATGTACTGTTTTCCTTGAATGTATTAATGAGATATATCAATAAACAGAATGCAACTCAAAACCAAAATAGAGCATTTGTTATTCTTCCTGATAAATCATAAATTATACTCCCTAAGTCCATCACATTGGGTGATTTCACCAAAATTATTTTTACAACACTAGATATATCTAGTTGATTCATGCGTATGAGTAGTTTATGGTCCTTTCTAAGAGAATCCTATTTGTTATTCTTGGGGAAAATGTGTTTATGTTTTAAGGATACTGCCTTTAATAGCTTTAACAAAACAATATATTTGTCCGATTACTATCAAGAGAATAATGTGAAGGGAGCTGGGTTTTGTACAAGTTAAACTTCTGCTAGCAATCTCAACTTGCTACCCATTCATGTCCCAGGTGAGAAAAAAAGATTCTCAAACTTGAATGTACTTCAGAATTGCCTGGAAAAGCTGTGCCCCAATCCCAGAGGGTCATTGTATGGATAGGTTTGGGATATGAGTAAGGAATCTTCATTTTTAAAAAGCAGGTAATGCTGATGCAGATAGTAGTAGAATTAGATTGTGGAACCCCGAAAGTAAAGGGTTGGGGTAAAGCAAGGAATTAGTAGCTTTTTTTTTTTTGCACTACTCACCTTCTCCTTTACCACATCCAGTTTTACAGTAATATTTCTCTGTAGCTCTCTATCAAGGATATACATATTGGCTTTGAATAGTATCTTTTCTATTGAATTTTATCTTAACATTTGGTAAGAGTTGTTTATGGAAGTTTGTCAAATTCCAGATTTACCTTTATACCAACAGAACTCCAGCAAAGAACAAGAATTTATATTTGCTTTTTAATGGTTAAAAGAAACAACACGCTATTAATGTTAAGTATAATAATGAGTATTTTAAGTGGAGGAGAGTAACCTTGAAATTTTGATCTTCATTGTGCTTTATTAAACCTACAGAAATAAAAAAATGAAAAACTGTTTGAAACAATTTGGGACTGAAGCCATAACCCATTCTAGAGTAAAACTATAAGGTATCCTTGACCAATTCTAAAGATTTTTATTTTTTTCCAGTTTTTTAAAATTTATTATTACTTTTTAAATTTTATATATTTTTATATCATTTTTCATTTTTGCATAATGTATGCATTTTTATCTTGGTTACAGTCCCCATACAATTCCCACTCCTCCTTGTTTTGATCCTACTCACTCCTCCCCGCCCCCATAGTGTGTGTCTCTGGTTTATAGTTGCTTGTTGATTTTGATTTTTACTTTATTATAATTAGTCTTTTTCCTGGTCCCTTTTTTAGGTTTTCTAAATTCCTGCTATGAGTGAGACCATCTGGTATTTTTCCTTTTCTTTCTGGCTTATTTCGCTGAGCATGATCCCTGCTAGCTCCATCCGTTTTGCTGCAAATTGCATGTTTATCTTTTTTGATTGCTTAGTAATATTCCATGGTATATATGTACCACATCTTCTTGATCCAGTCATCTGTTTTTGGGCATTTGGGTTGTTTCCATAGCTTAGCTATTGTAAATAGTGCTGCTGTAAACATAGGGGTGCAGGTGCCTTTTTGAATTAATGTTTCTGTGTCCTTTGGGTAAATACCTAGGAGTGGAATTGCTGGATCATATGGAAGTTCCATCTTTAGCAGGTTTAGAAATCTCCACACAGCTTTCCATAGTAGTGGGACCAGTTTGCACTCCTGCTCGAACACCCCTTTCTTAGGTGAATGACTGCTTACATGATGGAAGCCCCATAAAGACACCCAAAGACACATATTGCTCGCTTCAGTCAAATACTTAAGGACATTTTTTATTCACATGTATCCAGAAAAAAAAATGTCCTTAAGTATTTGACTGAAGCGAGCAATATCTGTCTCTGGGTATCTTTATGGGGCTTCCATCATGCAAGCAGTCATTCACCTAAGAAAGGGGTGTCTGAGCAGCAAAGATGACAGTGGTAAGCCTTCGTGAACCTCTGCAGCACTTAGATTCTTTGTTGTAGCCAGAGGAGGTAGAGGTGATATCTTGCTAGAATCCTGAAACAGATAGGCTAGTATTTTCAACTTAGGGAAATACCAGACTTGAAAACACTAACCAGAATGCAAGACAGTCTAAGTGCTAAATGGGGAAGTTCAAACAGGTTCTATGGAGGAGGAAATAGCGATTAATTCTGATGGGGTAGACTAATTCTGATGGGGGAGACAGGAAGGAGTGTGTTTAAGGAAATGTGTCAATGAGAAGATGGCAATTGAACTAGGCCTTGAAGGATTTAGGAGAGGATGTTGGGTGAGAAAATGAGTGATAAGAGGTGCCAAAAAAAAAAAAATGATAAGAGGTACCATTCCAGGGGAACTGTGGTAATCAGATTTGCCTGTGGTGTGCATAGATTCCATGGATATAAGTCCAACAAAGGGTCCTCAGAGCCATAGAGTGCTTGTATGTCACGATGAAGGACGAACTTCATTCAGTAAGCAGAGATCAACCATTGAGAGGGTTTAGAAATCTCCACACAGCTTTCCATAGTAGTGGGACCAGTTTGCACTCCTGCTCGAACACCCCTTTCTTAGGTGAATGACTGCTTACATGATGGATCCCTCCCTCTGGGAGGGGAGCTAGCAGTAATAAGTTCATTATGAAGATGATTATAGTAGATTGGTCAGAGATATTGCTGTAGTCTAGGCCAGAAAGAGTAAAGGTCTAAATTGTGACTGGGGCGGACAGTAAAAATTAAGAGTGTTGATATGTATTAAAAGATAGGGAATGGATATTAGTATATTTCCTAATAGGTACCAGTAACTCTAATAAATCATTATTATGGATTGAGTTCTTCATTCTATTGTATTATGGTGTACAGGGGTGAGTCAAACAGTTCCTGTGCTCTGGGTACATAAAATCTTAACAAAATAGGATATTTTTAACAACATCTTAACATTTTATAAATAATCACTTAACAAAATCTTACTATTTTATAAATAACTGCCAATGGTGAAGAACTATCACGGGATATGTAAATAATAATTTGGAAAGTGTGTTATGGTAGTTTACCCTGTAAGTTCTATAAAATAACCTGGAGCCAATAAATATTTGGCAATTATTTAATAATGCCCAACCTAAATAATGTAGAAAGGGTATTCAAATGCCAATTTAAGGCAGTATGACACATTTTATGGAGTGTCCAAACCTCAGATTTTACGTTTAAGAGTACATCTTTATATACAGTTTTGTACTAAATTCTTAAGGGATAATTCAGCATCTTACACTAATATTCCTTAACAGTTTTTAGATATTTGCAGGTATATGCAACTTCAGGATGGAAAACATTTTTTTAAAAATTGAAATTCACCTGTGTTTCCACTGACCCGTTATTAAAAATTATCAAAGACAGTTTGTTTAGTAAGACCTAAGGGAGAAAATATTCTTAGACTATTTCATGCTGGTAAATCTCTGCAGATTTGCAGTTTTATCCAGTCAAATTAATGCAAAACCCCAGTGCAAGCATTTGGATTTTGAAAACTTTGGAGGAGTGTCATTTTCTAATAGTAATTATTGGTTTTACATTATTTTTTCACAGGGGAACTGATCACAGCCGCACATGAGCTTGGAGTAAGTATTAGTTTTATTGTTTAATCAATGCTCTCATTAACAGTTTTAGGAATTAAGAAAGTTTAATTAAGCATGGCATAAAGTAGATTAATTTATTTTCAAACCCCCGTTTTTAGTAACTTATAAGTACAGTACGTGACAATTTACTTTAAGTTATAAATCCAATTAAACTAAATTATAAAGCAAAGCCTTTACTATATATACAGTAGCTGGCTTATTATCACCCTAAATTTTGTATAAGCTGTGGAGAATAAAATAAATCGGGTTAACAGTTTTAATAAGTTTATTATTTAATAAACTTTATTATGGTGCATGATCCCTTTAGGCAAGACCTTAGGACTGTCAGCATGGCGGTAATCCGATAGCAGTGTGGTCTTTCAACTTTCTAACCAACACGATATTTCAGAACCTGCTCTTTTTCAATAGCCTTTGAAATGACCCTAATGTACTGTGAACCCAGAGAACAAACTGCTTAAGAACTGACAATGAAATATGTCACCCTTTCTCTAAGTGACACACCATGCGATAGACGCCGCCAAATCCACTAAGGAAAATATTTATTTGTATTGGTACAAGAGGATTACAATAGAAAACCACTACACAAACATTTAGTCATTGGCACTTAAATCTTTAGACTTGCCTGAGAAAAGAGCTACTTTTCAATTAAAGCCAGCTGGACTCTTCCTTTACCAGATGAAAACCTTCTAACTGTTTGCTAATTTTTCTGTAGGTTGCCCATCCTCCTGGCTATCCTTTGTTTACTCTGGTGGCTAAACTGGCAATTATACTGTTTCCTTTTGGCTCTGTTGCCTACCGAGTCAATCTTCTGTGTGGCTTATTTGGAGCGGTAGCTGCATCATTACTTTTTTTCACCGTTTTCAGGTAAAGTAGTTTATTAGCTAACATAATTTTGACTAATTGGAAATGTCACTTTCTTAGGGCCCAAGTACATACATTGAGGGGGGGATCCTTTGTTTCTTGAATGGCTTTCCTAATCACTCATGTGATTTCACTTTCTTAATTTACAGTAATTTCATATGCATTTGACCCCTCAAATGATTACACAGTTGGTTCTGCTTCATACAATGGAGCGAAGGTGTCACCGGTTCATTATCACAATTCTCTGGTCAGGCAGAACTAATGAGGTTTGTCATTTTATGAAGATGCAGATGGGCCAGTTTAATTCAACAATATGAAGTTCATCTTTTGGCAAATAGTAAATATCATTCAATTACTCACACTGTTGCTGATGGGCACCTGCCCATCAGATCCAGAGCTAATGCCTAATTATTTTGGTATTCTAAATATGCACATGTTGTATACTTTTTGAAACAAGGCTATTAACTAAGGAAATCAATTTGGGATGTGGTTTTAGTTAAGGTTTCACTTTGTTCCATTATAGCTGTAGAGAAGGTAAGCAAATTAGATCCTACTTCCTTCATTGATGGGAGCCTTTCTTAGTTTGACAGGCTACCTTGCTTTTAAAAAATGGGTCACTAGGTCAGGATATTGGTAAACTCATTTGTAGTGAAAAATACAAATTATTCCTGCAAAAGGGAAACCAAATTAAAACACAACATTCAAAGACGATTACAGATTTTATTGTAAAAACAAATACTTCTTTTCATGTAAAGAGATATAATTCAAACAATTTCAGATATCATTCCAGAGACGAATGTTTTTATTTGTGTTATTCAGAGTATTACCCTTTTACTAAATTCTTTCTAAATTCCCTTTGAATTCCTTATAGAAAGGAAAAAGTTAACATAATTATGACTCTAAAGCTTACTTTTATATCTACTTATGCAAAGTCTTCAGATTCAAATATTATAATTGTTTTTTATCTACTAAATTTTTAGTTATATTATTTAATTTATTTCTATTTAAGTCTTAAACAGCTTCTCAATGATAGCCGAATCTTTAAGCATGAAATGTTTGAAATAACATCTTTGTTTGGAGTGATCAGTGTTATCAATACTTTTTCCCAAATAATTGGAGTAATTTTATTAGAATTATTTTTTCTGAATTATTTATATTAAGACTATCATTATTTCCATTGCAAGAAAAAGTGATCTTTTTTATTTCTAAATATCTAGGCTGAAATTTAGAACTTATCCATTCTGTATTGAATATATGAGTTACTAATTTTCACAAGACATTTTAAGACAGACATTTAATAAAAACTAATACTTGTATTTATTTTGATAGCTCAACTATATTTTAGAAGATCACTTCTATAACATATACATGTATTTAAATACTATGTGGATATAAATAGCTCTTACGCAAATAAATAAAGTGATTAATTTCTAATGTTTTTTCATTGTATTAATTATTAATGCCATTCCACATGAAAATCTCTATAAAAAATCATATATTAAAATCTTTATCTTTACAAACCCAAATAGCTTTGGGCAATAATTTTCCTCGAAGTTGTCCATGTTTTAAAATAACTTATTCATTATTACGCTTATTATTGTAATGGGTTTTAGATTAGCACACTAGCCTGTGATCTTTTTTTTAAAAATATACATTCTTAATGACAAATTTGTATACTTGCTGACACATGCTTTAAATTAAAACTCCTAATATGACTAAACTTCATATTTGAGGGGTTTTAGTAGCATAGCACTTTGAAAAAGTTGCTTTCTTTCAAAAAAGGAATCTAATGATATTATCTCTTTCATACATTTTAATATGAAAATACTTCATTATTTTGAATACAAATAATTGATAAGGTACACGTCCTTTGGGAACAACCTAGTTCAAGTGGCAAATCTGTTTTGTCAAACAATAGACACCCTTCAGGAACGAGCAAGCCATCTCTATGGTAATAGGACTAACAGTAGCCTATTGATTGAGTGGAAGAAGACATTATACAATGTCAGCTGGCTTGTTACAATTTCATTTGTTGTATGACCTGAACTTAACCTTTAAAACCTTTCTTCTGTGAATATAAACCCAACAGCAGGACACAGTTTTTGTCCAGCCATTACAGTGACGGCTTTTTTTCAGTCCCAGCGTACAGTAAATGTATTCCTTTACAGGTTGACTCCTTTATCAGAATTTGTTTAGGAGACATTTCACTACTATAATCATTTACAGGCCAAATCATCATTCCATTTTGTTGTTGAATATTGAAGGGTTTTGATCCAGGAAACAGTTTTATTCTTTCTTTTCCTCCATCACTTAAGAGAACATTACTGTACATGAAGGATTAGTGCTGACTGGTGTGCAGTAAATTAATTCTTTTAACAGGTTTAGGTTTTTTTTCAGGTAATTGTTCACATAGCATTCACTATATTTAGCTCTTGGGGTGGACATAAAGACCTTCTGTACCTTTTAAACAAAGATTGTATTTCAAAAGCAAATTTCTGTTTAAATGTGTTGATGTAAAAAGCTCCATTTTTTTCAGTAAACATGACTTAGATTGAAAGAACAATTTATTCGTTGTTTCCAATTACTATGTAATTTTTGCTTTCCTTGCATCTTTCTCTTGCTTTTAAAAGCCGTAAGATGTCATTAACACTGCATTTTTTGTCAATCTTTCCTAATGGTTGGCAAGAACTCATTTATATTTGCTCTGCCCTAATGTAGCAAGCCTATGAGTAAAACAGCACATTGAAAGCTGTATGTGTCACTCTAGTTTATTGAATTAAAAATAGTAAGATTGTGGCTGTCGATTCTGTATGTACTTATTTATGTAATGTCCCCTTCAGGGATATTTTTAAGCATGCATTATGTTATGGGAGTTTAATACATTTCGCTTATATGAAATAGCATTCATTTTATTAATGCGTACATCTGTGCACTCAAGAGTCTGTAATACAGTTAGTGGTTTATAGGAACTGGGATTTTATCTTTTAAGGGCAATTGAAGTAAATGATTTTTAAGTTTGATAGTATGGTATTTAAAGTATCGTATTTGAAATCCACAAATCCTACTAATACAAAATAAGAAAGTTATAGATAATGCAAGTCACTCATGTGAACACCATTTAGCATTACTTACTACTTGAATTTCAAACTTATTTTCTAAGAAATATCCAACTAGAAGGAATACTGAAATCACTGTCATTAAACATCAGTGTGCTTACATGTCCTGTGTTTTGATGTCATGAAGAGAGAATGGAGTATGTTGATAGCATTACATAGAAATTCTTCACCTCAGGCAGATTTAAGTTGTTTATGACCTCAGATGAGGACATATCTTCTATCAATTATTTTGTAGTTACAGGTCAGGGGACGTGTGCTTGATAGGCTTGAGAGCTTATCCTTTTCGAACTGTTTGGGCCAAATGGAACTAAAGGAGAATTCATTCAAAAGTATTTGTTGAGCATTCATATGAACCAAGAGTAAAACAATTTTAGTTTTTATCATCAACATTCAGCTTTTAAGGAAAGTGAAACAAAACCACTGTTAAAGGTTTTCAGATTTTTTTTCCTAAAAGGCACTGTTTTTTGCATAACAAACCTTCTAACACCATTAACGTTGTACAGTAAGAAATCATTTCTCTTAATGGCAAGGAGGTTACCTAGAGTATATGAACTTTGATGATAATTGAAGGTATGTTGAAGTTATGCCTACTTGCCACAGACAACTTATAGCCAATTTTAGTAATAATATAATAGCTAATTTTAGTACCGTTTAGATACCACCCTGCAGATCGTTTTGTGCCAGTATTTTATTTGTGTAGTATTTTATTTTTCATAAACTATATATTTCTAAACATTTTGCAGGTGCTAAAAATTAATTTGACTTAACTTTTGGAAAACACACTTGATTCTGAGTACTGCATCTACTCTTCTTAAAGTCTCAGCTAAAAGCCCATTCAATAAAGAAGAGAAAATTAAAATGCCATACCTTAGAGAATGTAGAATCTCCTGCTTAAGGGACATCTGGATTTTCCAGCTCAAAGAGTATTTTAGATTATTGCCATAGAGAATAATGTGAAGATCTTCCTAATTTCAGAGGTAACTATGCATAAGTAACAAATAGTCACCAAGTTTTTGTAGTTGAATAAGAATGGAAAGTACTGGAGCATTAATTTCCATTCAGGAGAATATCTGTCTTGATCCCTGCTTAATTGATCATATATTTCTCTCACACTTGTATTAAAATTGCATCAACTCAGACTGGTTAAGCATATTAAGAGCTTGGTTCATTTGCATTTTCTTATAAGTAGAGGGACACATTACACTCAAATAGCAGCACTTCATTTTGAAGGGAAAAAAGCAGGGCAAAAACTCTGTCTTAAGACTGTAGAGTCTTTTCTGACAGCTAGTCAGAGTTAGAATTAGTTCAAGGAAATGTTAATAATGCACTGCCTGGCCTAATCCCTTTGATATCACCAGGTATCCTCCTGTTCATGGGTTAATTGCTTTAAAAGCGAAGGCAATATTCTGAGCGGTGGGCCGCTTCACCTTTTCACAGCTGTTACCATTGAGTGACAACTAAATCCCATGTGTAAGATGAGGAAGAGCTCAATCTCCAATTGGGAGAAAATTTATGTAAACCACAATCCCTTCAGAATGTGCGGAAGTCATAGACTTTCTTGATTTACTCTGCTTTTCCCAGAAAGCTCTATTGTTCACTTTCCTAAGTCCCATCAACCCTTTGTAGCAGAATATCACAGCGGCAGCAGATAGCTTGAAATATATAAATGCTATCATAGCTCTGATTAATAGCAGTGCTTATGAGTCAAGTCTGATAACAGTGCAGCTCTCCACTCAATTTCAGATACTGCTAATGGAATCTGTCTTCTCCAATTGTAATATGAGAAGGCCTAATTTGCCATGGAGCTTGGAGCTGTCACCAGTAGGGGATTGTGGGGTCAGATGGGAGCTGCCAGGTTTTTGCCCTGCAGCTTGTATCTCTCACTTT